TGACACTGTCTAACCATCTCATCCTTTGCCGTCCCCGTCTTCTTTGACCTTCAATCTTTCCCAGCATCAGGGTCTTCTCCAGTGAGTGCTCCCTTCTCATTTGGTGGCCAAAGTATTTGAGCTTCAGTTTCATTATCTGGCCTTCCAGGGAACAGTCAGGGTTGATTTCTTTGAGGATTGACTGATTTGTTCTTCTTGCAGTCCAAGGGACTCTCAAGAGTCTTCTCCAGCACCATAGTTCAAAAGAATCTATTCTTCGGCGCTCGGCCTTCCTTATAGTCCAGCTCTCGCAGCCATACATGACTACTGGGAATACCATTGCTTTGACCATGCGGACTTTTGTTGGCAGGGTGATGTCTCTACTTTTTATCATGCTGTTTAGGTTCGCCATCGCTTTCCTCCCAAGGAGCAGGCGTCTTTTAATTTCATGGCTGCAGTCACAGTCTGCGGTGATCTGGGATCCCAGGAACGTGAAGTCTGTCACTACTTCCACAGCTTCCCCTTCTATTTGCCAAGGAGTGATGGGGCCGGATGCCATGATCTTAGTTTTTTTGATGTTGAGCTTCAAGCCCACTTTTGCGCTCTCCTCTTTTACTCTGAGCAAGAGGCTCTTTAGATCCTTTTCACTTTCAGCCATTAGAGTGGTATCATCTGCATATCTGAGGTTGTTGATCTTTTCCCCAGCAATCTTAATTCCCGCTTGTGATTCATCCAGGCCAGCATTTCGCATGATGTACTCTGCATATATATTAAATAAGCAAGGTGACAGTATACATCCTTGTCGTACTCCTTTTCCTATGCTGAACCAATCAGTTGTTCCGTATCCGGTTCTAACTGTCGCTTCTTGGCCCTTATACAGGTTTCTCAAGAGACATGTGAGGTGGTCTGGTACTCCCATCTCTTTAAGGACCTGCCATAGTTTGTTGTGATCCACACAGTCAAAGGCTTTAGCATAGTCAATGAAGCAGAAGTAGATATTTTTCTGGTACTCTCTTGCTTTCTCCATAATCCAGCGAATGTTGGCAATATGATCTCTCGTTCCTCTACCTCTTCGAAACCCAGCTTGTACTTCTGGTAGTTCTCTATCCACGTACTGTTGAAGCCTAGCTTGTAGGATCTTGAGCATGACCTTGCTAGCGTGTGATATGAGTGCAATTGTGCGATAGTTTGAACATTCCTTGGCATTGCCCTTCTTTGGGATTGGAATGTATACTGATCTTTTCCAATCCTGTGGCCACTGTTGCGTTTTCCAAATTTGCTGGCAAATGGAGTGCAGAACTTTAACAGCATCATCTTCTAAGACTTTGAATAGCTCAGCTGGAATACCATCACCTCCACTAGCTTTGTTGTTAGTAATGCTTTCTAAGGCCCATTTAACTTCACATTCCAGGATGTCTGGCTCAAGGTCAGTGATTATACCGTCGTGTTTGTCAAGGACATTGAGGTCTTTCTTGTATAGTTCTTCTGTGTATTCTTGCCATCTTTTCCTAATCTCTTCTGCTTCTGTTAGGTCCCTACCGTTTTTGTCCTTTATCATGGCCAGCTTTGCATGGAACGCTCCCTTGATTTCTCCAATTTTCTTGAAGAGATCTCTAGTCCTTCCCATTCTATTGTTTTCTTCTATTACTTTGCACTGTTCATTCAGGAAGGCCTCCTTATCTCTCCTTGCTGTTCTCTGGAAATCTGCGTTCAGTTGGGTAAATCTTTCCTTTTCGCCTTTGCCTTTCGCTTTCCTTCTTTCCTCTGCTATTTGTAAAGCCTCATCAGAAAGCCATTTTGCTTTCTTGCATTTCTTTTTCTTTGGTATGGTGGTGATTGCTGCCTCCTGTACGATGTCACGAACCTCTGTCCATAGTTCTTCAGGCACTCTATCTATCAAATCCAGACCCTTGAATCTATTCTTCACCTCTACTGTATATTCATCAGGGATGCGATCTAGGTCAAACCTGAATGGCCTCGTGGTTTTCCCAATTTTCTTCAGTTTAAGTCTGAATTTTGCAATGAGTAGCTCATGATCTGAGCCACAGTCAGCTCCAGGTCTTGTTTTTACTGACTGGATAGAGCTTCTCCATCTTTGACTGCAAATTATATAGTCAATCTGATTTCGGTGTTGCCCATCTGGTGATGTCCATGTGTAGAGTTGCCTCTTAGGTTGTTGGAAAAGGGTGTTCGCTAGGACTAGTGTGTTCTCTTGACAAAACTCTGTTAGCCTTTGCCCTGCTTCATTTTGCTTTCCAAGGCCAAACTTGTCTGTTGTTCGGGTTACCTTTTGACTTCCTACTTTAGCATTCCAGTCCCCTATGATGAGGAGGACATCATTTTTTGGCGTTAGTTCTATGAGGTGCCCAGACTCTAATCTGGGAGAACCAGGTTTGATTCCCCACTCCTCCACATACATCTGCTGGTGTGACCTTGGGTCAGTCACAGCTCTCTGAGAGTTGTTCTCTTAAGAGCAGTTCTCAAAAGAGCTCTCTCAGCCTCACCTACCTCTGTTGTGGGGAGGGGAACCTAAAGGAGATTGTAAATCACTCCCAGACTCCTTCAGGTAGTGAAAGGCAGGGTAATAAATCCAATCTCTTCTTCTTCTTGAGCTTGAGCTCTGAAGGCCTCTCTGTTGCATGAATGCCCTTGCACTCGGTTATTGTCTTTTTGCAAAATCCTCTCGCAGTAAACTTATTGAAAGCAAACTCGAAAGCTTGGGTTGGCTTGTTTCCCGAACTCTGCCAACAGACAGACCACTGGTCTGACTTAGTATAAGGCAGCTTCGTGTGTGTTGACTTTTTAACTTTCAAGAAAGGGTCTATGCATCTGTGCGCACAGATAGCTCTAGGTATGTGCGTATATACACATAGATATGATGGACGTACCTAGAAGACCGGGTGTGCATCATCCGTTCAGCGCAATTGTCTCATTAATCATGCGAATTTTCCCATCGCTTCTCCTCCCCAAGTTCGCAAAGAACCAAAAAAAAAAAAAAAAAAAAATCAAAAAAGATCTAAAAGCCAGTGATTTGAGGGCGGAGGACAGACACCAACAGAGCTGGGTGGGCGGGGCGAGCAGGGCTAGGCCCCCGCCCACTCCCTCCCGAGAATCCCGTCACTTGCGGCTAGCTCCGCCCATTCCTGAATAAGTCAGGAAAGTGTGTGTGTGTGTATGGTGTGTGTGTGGGGGGGAGCATAGAAAAGCAGGCAGAGCGGTAGAGAGGAGAAAAAAACTTGACGAGGACCTACTGAAAGAAAAGCTAAGGGAATTCCCGAGCTTTATAGAAGTGGGGGGGGGGGGGGAGAGGTGGGGGGGGGGACGGGAGAAGGAGAGAGAGGCAGTTGGTGTGGGAGGAGCCAGAGCAACGGACACCAACACACCGCGCGACCGCCGATCCGAGGGGAGAGCGTGGCTCCTCCCCCCATCAGTGACGGAGCCAGGCACGCCTCCTCCAACCCGGCTGCTCTCTCCCCCCCCGCGCGCGTGCGCCCTCAAGCCTTCGCGGGCACGTTCCTTCCGTAGTCCGTTGGGGGTAGCCTCTGGCGCTCGTGGGGGGGGGAGGAGGGCGGGAAGGAGAGGAACGATGAGGTGAGGCGCGGCTGGAACTCGCCTGGAAGAAGCGAGGAGGGGGAGAGGGCGGCGCGCCGAGGAACGGGGTGGTGGTGGTGGGTGGGGGGAAGGAGAGAAGGGTGCGCGTGCGCGCTGCCGCCACCATCACCACCACCACCTCCTCCTCCTCTACCGCTTCCGTCATCATGGCTCACTCCCCTGTGCAGCAGCCCGGCCTGCCGGGGATGCAGGTGAGAAACCCGCCTCCACTCTGTGTCCCCCCCCCTCCCCGCCGCCTCGACTCCGTTTGCGCGTGAAGCTCTTCCTGAGCCCCGGCTTGAGGGCGGGCGGGCAGTGCCCCCCCTGCGCTGACAGGGTCGGGAGTGTGGGGAGGTCTGGCCACACACTCTCTTCCCCCATGTCCTGGGCTGAGCGAGCAGGGGCGTGTGTGTCTTCCCCTTTCCTCTCGGTGGGGGGGGGGAGCGTCGCTGTGGAAGGGCAGAAGCAATAGATGAGCGATCGGTGTCAGGTGGGGGGGGAGAGATCTGTGGGTGATGTTGGAGCAGGAGGTGGCTGAGATGGAGGAACGACAACAGGCTCTGGCAGAGGAGGAGTGTGGGGAGGGAGTGCTATTCAGCCTCCCCTGCCCACTGTAAAACCCTGCCTTAAATTGGAGGGCACCTCCTTACCCTGATTTTGTTTTTTTGGGAAAGGTATATCGTTTCCTGGTGGAGGGTGGCTGAAAATAATTTTGTTGTGCATAGGGTCTTTATCCTGCAAAAAAAGCAAACCCCGAATAGTTCAGGATCACAGCGCAGAGTTCCTGCAGGCGGCTGAAGTCAGTGAGCTCTCGCCTAGTCTAACCCTGCATGTGTTTGCACTCTTGGTGACCTTCAGAGTGACCTGCGGTGCCCACCTGACTCACTGTGGAGGGGCTGCATGACACTGTGTCCTAATCTGAAAAGGGAATTCGTGGAGTGTTTGCGTCTCTGAGACTGGTTTCTCTTGTTTTGTTTTTGTTAGCAGCGTATGGCAAGTTGGCAGGGGAGTAACAGCCTTGAAGTAATCTTTGTGACCATGTGAAATTGTAATTTGCAGGGCATGGTTAAAGTATGTGCCGCCTCACAGACTCTCCCTCGTATCTTTTTGTCTTAATAAAGAGGTTAGACTTCAATAACTTTTGCTTTTTCCTCTTGAGACTGCAATAAATCAAACTGTTGTACAAAAGTTGTTTTGCATATGTGTTTGAGTAATGCAAACATATATCAGAGAGAGCAGGTGAGAAATGGAGACGCATTGGTTACACACCACATACTTTATTTGTAGCATAATTTTTTATTCCAATCCTGGTGAGTCCAGTTTATCCATCCATAGCATGCTGCCTTTTGAAGGGAAACGGGTGTTGGAAAGTATGTCCTGTAATTTGATTTCTGGGAGGGAGATGTGGAACAGCATATAGGCCCTTCTTTTGTGGTCTGTTTTTTGACTTAACCAGGGTAACAGGGAGGGAGCTCAGGATCCAGTACAAAAAATAAAGGATAGTTTGCTTAGGCCCAGAGACTATGTTTTCCACAAGCTGCAGCATATGCAGTTTGGTTGTTATTGGCTGGAAGTGGTGGGGGGAGAAATGGGGGTCCGTCTCCCTTTGCAAGCCTACCCCTGCTCATATGCAAGATCAGGGAGGGCTGAGGAGAACAGAGAGCCTAGGTTTACTTTACACAGTGAATCATGAGGGCGTCACTGGGTTTGGCACTTAACCACTTGAACAAAAATCTGGCCAGACATTGATCGGATTCTTTTTAAAGCATTAATTTGAAAAAAACAGATTAGTTACTGTGAAATAATGACACTTTTTAGAGTATTCTAATGGATCATTGTGTATCTCCCTTGGTAGCCCCGTGAGGCCAGAGAGGAAGGAATCTTGTTAAATAAAATAGCAATATTAAGTAACGGTTCTGTGATTATGGACAATTTATTTAATAGTACTTCTGTTTGGCTTTTATCCAAATGAACCTGTGATTACAGATTTTTAAAAAAATGAAATTAAAACCAACCCCCCCCCATTCAAATAGGTGATCAGTTAGCATAATTTGCCTAATCTTTCTCCCCATGAGTGGGAGTCACCCAAGCAGTCCCATGAATGCTTATCAGGTCATTAATACCTTGTGATCAGCTGGATTAAAGTCTATAGAGGATTGGAGAGGGTAATGTTGCCCTTTGTGAATTTATGGCAGAGATTATTAACCGAGGCCTCAGTGAAAGTTATGTTTAGCATCTAGCTATAGATGCAACGAACATGAAATTGAGCCAACTTCAGAGGACGGCGGAAGACAGGAAGGCCTGGCGTGATCTGGTCCATGGGGTCGTGAAGAGTCGGACTCGACTGTGCGACTGAACAACACAACAATAAAAGATGTAAATAGGAAACTTTAGATTTACTCACACAGTCTCTGTTCATTAGATTTGCTTGGTTTATTGTTAGTTGCTTAATGCTTATTTATAACCTACTAATTCCTCCAAAGAGGGTAACTTTATTTCTGTACAACTAATAAATGAGTAAAAAGCTGATAACTAGTATTTATTATAGTATTTATTAGTAGCAAGCCGAAGAAGAAATATTATCTGTGAAGTGCCCTAGAAATAAGGTGGTATACTGTAACTTTAAAAAATCCCTTGCCCACAAGTTTATTCTTAAGTCTATGCAAGTACCTTGTCCACAAACATTTCTACAGCCTTGCTGAGCTCAGTATGTCTGTATTAGTAATTTGGAAAATGGGGGGGGGGAGATCCTTCCATGAAGGTTCCCTGTTTGGCTGCCTGGAGGAAATCTTCATTCACCATAAACAGCCATGCTAGTTGATACACAAATAAGCGTGCCCAATAAATGATTACATTGCCATCTTATTTAGCAGGTCTTTCAGTAAACTGTATATGTGTGTATCTATATCAGTGTGTAATTGTCTACAGCATTGCTGTAAAGTTGAAATATTAAACTTTATTGCTGTTCATAATGGAAAAAATGCTTGTCCAATGTGCTTACATTGTCTCCTTAGAAAGATATTTATCTCTAGAACTATTGCTAGCTAGGTATTTATAGCTGACAGTGTATTAACTCTTTTATTTAATCCTGATATGCATATTCTTATATTGGTTGCTTTTAAAATGGATGGAGATATGGGAGGCGTGAATATACTTCCCAGCAGTGTCTACAGTGCTCCTTTCTGCTGCCTCTGTGCTTGTTTATTTGTTTTCTTTGGGGGGAGATGGAAAAAGCATGTGGGTATTGTACCCATGCTCAACTGGATCAGGCATTTTAGTATTTTACACTGGGTGTAAACAGTGCTGCATATTCTAATTTGGTAGACCCCCCGCCCCCGAATTTATGTTGGGGACATCAGCACAAAACCCTATTGCTACATGCTACTCAACCGGAGTAGACTCTCATAGGGTTATGATGTAAACCTCCATTGCACTTAGCCACAAAACTCTAACCACACCTTCATGTTTCATGAACGTATTCTGTACCTGTTTCCTCATTCCATTTATATACTACCTTTCTTCCATAATGGATTCAAGGTGGCTTACATAGGATGCCCTGGAACTCTCCCATCCCAGCACAGACTACACCCATGCTTGTTCAGCTTCAGCAGGTTGCTGTGTCATGTGATTTCCAACCATATCTTGGAATCTTACAGCTTGCTTGAATGATAGTGCAGTGGGTGCTAACAGTAGTTTTGGAATCTGAAACCATTATTTTAATTCGGCACTTTTTTGTGTTGCTGTAATTTGAAATATTGGGGAATTTCAGATAGGCGATAGATTCCGGAAGGGAACCAGTTCTCAAACGGGTTCTGGTCTGTCATTTCAGACAGAACCCGTTTGAGAACCGGTTCCCTTCCGGAATCTATCGCCTATCTGAAATTCCCCAATATTTCAAATTACAGCAACACAAAAAAGTGCCGAATTAAAATAATGGTTTCGGGGGGAAATTCTGTCTAGAAAACAGATTCCAAAGCTACTGTTAGCACCCACTGCACTACCATTCAAGCAAGCTGTAAGGTTCCAAGATATGGTTGGAAGTCACATGACACAGCAACCTGCTGAAGCTGAACAAGCATGGGTGTAGTCTGTGCTGGGATAGTTCCAGGGCATCCTATGTAAGCCACCTTGAATCCATTATGGAAGAAAGGTAGTATATAAATGGAATGAGGAAACAGGTACAGAATACGTTCATGAAACATGAAGGTGTGGTTAGAGTTTTGTGGCTAAGTGCAATGGAGGTTTACATCATAATGGGCTTCTTACATTCCTGTCCTTCCCAAATGTGGAGTACCTTTACTTGCACAGCCTGAAACATGGTGCAGTGTTTAAGAAGTTGTCTTGGATGAAATTTTGGGAAGTCATTTCACTCAGGGCAGAAGTTTGGATTCTGCCTTGCTGGTTTGTCTGCAATTTCTGAGACAAATACATGTACACTCTAAAGTGCTTGCGTTTATATTCATGGCCCAGTCTTTTGCATCATGCAAGTACGGTATAACTACAGCCAATGTCCTGTCTTTAATGTGCATGTATGTGCTATGAGCCCTCATTAATATTTGGATGGGAGACCATAAAGGAAGTCCTCAGTTGCTCTGCAGAAGCAGGCAATGGCAAACTGCCTCTGAATGTCTCTTCCTTTGAAAACCCCAACTTGACTGAAACAGAATTATGAAAGCGCACTAATAGTGAAAATAGTTTACTGCAACGTCTCTGGGTTTTGTGTCGTCTGATTCTGACAACCAGCCAAGAAGATAAGATTCTGGCTAACTTAACGCTGGACCTATGTCACTGTTACTGTGGTGATTGTGTACATGTGACTACTATGTCCTCGCATTCAGAACCCTGTATTTCTTTCCAGAGATGCCCACTGTGACAGCACATGGCCAGTAAGAAGGCAGTGCTAGGCTGTGTGGCTTAATTAGGAGGGGAGTGTGCAGAAGTGTTCTGGAGCTAGTTGCAGGGAAAGGGGCATGCCTGCTTCTAAATTAGGGATGTGCATTTGTAACCTTGACAACTGTGAGGCAAGAGAGTCTGTTATTCCTACTGTTTCTGCTGGATGACATCATAATGCAATGTGAAAGAGAAATTGCCACTTCAAGAAAAACATTCTATACTACATGAATATTGTGAGAAAATATGATCAGAGTTCATGGTCAATGGACACTTCACTTTGTGCCTGTGTGCATGCTGTGCCTTGTGTAATTGGCGCTGTCATGCTGCATTTTGTTACCCTATAATCCTTGCTGCTTATTAAAAAGCGAGGCTAGTTCATAGCCTTCAGGGTTGTAGATCAGTCATTGAAAGTATGTTGGCACTGTGTGGTGAAGGTTCAGTAATCCAGAGTAATTTGGGGGAGGAGGCGGTACTTCAGTGTCCAAGGCAGGAAAGCTTTTCCTCCTGAGTAGCACTTTTGTTCTTCCCAGAACCCCAGTCTCTGGCCTCTTGAGTTTTTATGTCACATATTTTCCTTGCCTAAATTATCTTCATTTTGTAACTCTTCAAATATATTGATACAGATTTGTCTGATGATAAAACTTATGCTCAGAACTTCCGTTCCAATGTTACTTTGTTAAGATTCAGTACCAGATAGCAGTGGGAGAAATCACTACGAGAGTCTGAGAATATAAAGTAATTCTTTTCTCATATCTGCTTGGAACAGTTTTCAGATCATCAGCCTACTCTACCTGCAGCATAAGTGAGCAGCGGTGTAAAATATTTTAATTGTAAAACCTAAGATGTTTTCCTCTTCTATTTGTGCCAGAATCTGAAAGCAGATCCAGAAGAACTTTTTACAAAACTGGAGAAGATTGGCAAAGGTTCATTTGGTGAAGTTTTTAAGGGAATAGACAATCGAACTCAAAAAGTTGTCGCTATTAAAATTATTGATTTGGAAGAAGCTGAAGATGAAATAGAAGACATTCAACAGGAAATCACGGTGCTAAGTCAGTGTGACAGCCCCTATGTTACCAAATATTACGGATCCTATTTAAAGGTGAGAGCTTTCCTTTTTATGTCGCATTCAAAATATTCCTATGCTACCAAAGGAAATAATAGAATAGCTTTCAGTGGAAAAGGAACTACTTTGAACTTCAGACAAACTTACTTGTTGCTCTTTTTTCTAAGATATGTGCTATCAGCATAGAGAGTATTTTGTAGGCTTGCTTAAATGGAAACTACTATATTAATGTGTGTTTTCAGAAGGAATACTGATCGCATACACATACTTGCATTTTCATTAAGAATGAAATATTTTGAAATTGGGTATGTGTAAACACACACAGAACACTACAAAATGAGTATATTGTTTAAATACCAGCTGAACTGCTGTGGCTTCCTTTAAAAGAATCCTGAAAATTGTGGTTTGGTGAAGTTGTTGAGAATTGTTAGGGATCTTTGATGCCTCTTACAGAACTACAGTTCCCCGGGTTACCTGTTCACTTAGGCATGCTTAATTCTATAGTGTGGATGTATCTCGGATTTCCATTTGGTAGCAGGACTCATTTAGCATTTCACTAAAATTATATAACCGTTCTTGTTTCTGGCCTTTCTGGATCTGATCTAACACTCTTTTAGATTGTAATCCAGTAGCACCTTAAAGACCAGAAAGATTTTATGAGATATGATGTTTCAGATAATGAAGGGACTTTGAGTCTTGAAAGCCCCCCCCCCCAATCTAATTGGTCTCTACGGTGCTACTGGACTGTAATCTAGCTGTTCTGCGTAGACCAACATGGCTATCCTCTGAAACGAGTATAATTCAAAGTTTTCTATATGTTGTCAAAATCCCTTGTAAACTGTTGCTTTCCCACTTCTACTGCACTGTATGCCTGAACAGCTCCTTCTCTTTCCTCACCAAATAGTCACACTATCACCATCCAAAGGGCTGTTCCAGATGTGTGCTGTGTAGCCAAGACCAGGTGTATCACCAAATAGTCACACTATTACCATCCAAAGGGCTGTGATGTGTGCTGTGTAGCCAAGACCAGGTGTGTTGTGGTTACAGTGCTGCACTCGGATCTGGTAGATCCATAAAAGTGTGAAAGTTGCTGAATGACCTTGGGCCAAGCTGATCACAAACTCTCCGCTTCAGTTGTGGGTGTACAGGAGGAGCAGGAGAACTGTGTATACCACCTTGAGGTCCTTGGAGGAATGGGGCGGGTGGGTGATGATAATGCATGGCTTTCTACCTTTCTGTAGAACAGTAGCTTCTGTAGTAACCTTTCCGGTTGCCTGGTAAGGCTAAGTGCAGGTTGCAATAGGGGGTACAGTTGCCTGAATGATTACCTCAGGCAAGGGTCACTCTTCAGAGGTGTAATTAAAAATACCTAGAATATTAGCCTTATAAACTGACACATAGTTTGAGTTATGAGGCTAGCAGCTTCGTTACCACTTCTCATGAATTGTGTTTTGTTGGAATTACAGGGTCACCAGTGTAATTTGGATGCAGTTAATGTTATCCATACACACCTGTAATGACATTGGTTTGCCATTTAATAGATTAAATGGCAGGAGTCTGTAGTCATATGTCCTGGTACTTGGTGCAGCTTAGTTACCTTGGTCATCATTGCGGACCAGGCACAGCTAACTTATGCCAGGGTGCTGTTTCTGCTCAGTCTGAAATTAACCTCTCTTTTGTAAGAATTCTTGGCTTCCCTCTTTAGTTGATGGCTAGAGCGGAAAGAAACACATGCCTAGAGTCACATGGCACAGCTCGAGCTGGGGATTTATGCTTTGTGTGCTCTCATGTTAAAAAGAAATATGCTCGAGCAGAAGCTTCTGCACATGTTAGCAAGATGAATTTTAAGTCAAGTTAATGCTTTGACATGCTAGCCTGTCCTCAAGAGAGTATTTCAGATCTGCAGTCCCACATCTATCGTCTGAAATGCTGCTCCAAACAAGCCTCTCGTGATTCAGCTTTTAGCGTTAGAGACCTTGGAATTCACTTGGCAACCATTCTGAGTTGCGTGCAGTTTGTGGTCTATGTGTTACCCCAGCGAATTTCTGAATCTAAATGATGAAAACAACCCTGTATCTATTACTGGAGCTTTAATGTAATGATGACTGTCCAGTTTTGTCAGAGCTTTCTAGCCTTTCCCGCTGTCAGCATTACCCCACAATTATGTATACTTCTGGGGAAACTGGTTCTTCAGGATGTTCATGTCAACATGCTTTCAGGTATTGAATTGCTAATTCCTTTTATGTAGTATTTAGGTTTCCAAAAAGAAAATGTGTTAACTTTCTTTGGGCTTGACAATCTTAGTAGAGGTTCTTAACAAATGTTTCACAAATTGTATGCAGGTACTGGCTCTTCTGTCATAGTCTGTGCTTGATTTGTAATTGGCAATGGCTAGTGCTAGCAAATAAGGAACTGTTTTGGCAAGGGGACTTTGCTGGTTGTCATTAATTATGATGACATCCATAAGCAATTTGGATATATCAAGTCTTCATGCAAGGGAAAATAAAGTCAGGGTCAGGCAATGTGTTTCCTTAAAGCATACCGATTGTGAAAACAAAATGGCAGTGTGGAATTCCCCCCCCCCCTGAATATATATTCTACATCAACAGGAGTGTGACTGCTGGCCTCACTCCCTTCCCCATGTCTACACATACGGACAGACATCTTCAGGAAGCCCTATGTGTGTAAGCTTTGTATTCTCGATTCTGCAGTGTTTCCAATTGTATACTATTGGTTGATGAGAATACAAACAGGAAAACTGGAAGTTATGCTATTCCACGAGAGGTTGCACTTCCCCTGAAGGACCAGGTTTACAGCTTGGAAGTACTGAGTCTGCAGATTTATTTACTTATTTTATTTTACAAAATTTATACAGCACCTTTCAATCCTCTTCAGGGCTACCAAAGTGACTCCAAATGGCATCTTAAAAACCATTAAAACCAACAAGAGGCACATAATTAAATCAACTAAAACCAGAGCTCAAATCAAGATTGAAAATATAAATTAAAACGTCTCTGATCACTCTAGACAAACTGTCTTCCCCCACTGGTGGAAGATGGCAACAGAAGGGGGACAAATAAATCTCCCTGCGGGGACAGTTCCAGAGTTTTGGGGCCACCACCAAGAAGGCCCTCTCAGAAGGCAAGGGACACCTGAAGCAGGGCTTCAGAAGATGACCACAATGGTTGGGAAGGTTCATAAGAGTGTAGGTGGTGGTTCAGATATTTTGGTCCCAAACAATACAGGACTTTAAAGGTCACCACCGTCACCCTGAATTGTGCCTGGAAACAGATTGGGATCCAGTGTAGATGCACCATGACTGGAGTGATATGGTCCCTGCAACCCACTGCAGTCAACATCCTGGCTGCAACATTTTGCACCAGCTGAAGTTTCCAAACACTTTTCAAGGGCAGCCTCCACATAGAATACACTGAGTAATCTATGCCAGATCTAACCAGGGCATGCACTACAGTGGCCAGATCTTTTCTGCCCAGGAAAGGCCACAGCAGGCTAATCAGCCAGAGCTAATAAAAGGCACGTCTGGCCATAGTTGCCACCTACTTACCTAGCAGAGTAGACCTGGGTCCAGAAGCATGCACAGATTACAGACCTGTTCCTTCAAGGGGAGCATAATCCTGTCTAGAATGCTCTGGACTTATCTGTAGTGTTTAGTGCTTTTGAATGACTTTGACTGATTATTAGCTCTTCCTTGAAAAGCAAGATCTGACAACAGTGATCTGTGCTCTGTTCGCCTCCAAGTTAGACTGCTGCAAAGTGTTGTACATGCCAATGCTTAAAGGGTTCAGTGGCTACTAGTTCACTTCCAGGCTCAAAGTTCTTGTGAGTGCTTACCATCCTAAACAAACTGGGTCCAGCATCTTAAAGAGCTGCCTTAAAAGGTGTGTCTGGCACCTCCAGGAACTTTGTGGTGGGACAAGGGGAAGATGTGACATTGCAGGGCGTATTGATGCCATGTCCAGGGAAAAACCCAGATGTGTCATCAGCATATGTCAGCTGACACTCTGAAAACTGTATGGTGGAGTAATCTAATAGAGTTTCCTTAGTATTGGCTGATATGCTGATGTCACATCCAGTTTTTAGCCTGGACATGATGTTGATATGTTGCGTGGTCATGTCTGCCCCCCCTTTTTTCCTCACTGTCAAGGGCAGGTGGGAGAATGCCCACCAGAAGCATGTGAATGACATATCTCTCACTGCCACTTCTTCTGAAGAATAATGGGAGGTCACCAAGGGCATTGTTTCCTGTTGTGGTGCCTACGGAATATCATTCTGAGAGCCAGCTTGGTGTAGTGGTTAAGAGTGGCAGACTCTAATCTGGAGAACTGGGTTTGATTCCCCACTCTTCCACATGAAGCCAGCTGGGTGACTGTGGGTCAGTCACAGTTCTCTCAGAACTCTCTCAGCCCCACCTACTGCACATAGTGTCTGTTGTGGGGAGAAGAACGAAAAGCGATTGTAAGCCGCTCGGAGACTCCTTTGGGTAGTGAAGAGCAGGTTATAAAACCAACTCCCCTTTTTCTCTCTACCTAGTGGGTTTTTTGGCATCAAGTTAAGATCTGTTTATTTGCCTGGGTATTTGCTTGATGTTAGCTGTTAACTATTTCTACTGATTTTTATCGTCAAGGGCTCTGCTGGTGGTTCCTCTCTTGTTATTTTTATATTTGTTGTGTTTGGTCTGCTTTAATTTTGTTTTAAGCAGTAGGTTAACATTGTTATAAACTGCCTTGGGAACTTTGAAATGTAGTAATATATAAGTATTTTAAATAAAAATGAAACTACTACGACCAGGTGAAATAGAGAAGTTTCAACTCCTCTTTGTCTTAGCTCTCTTTAGAATGCTTGTTTCGCTCAAATGAAAGGTTCTCCCCTTAGATTTTCAAAAACGAACAGAGAGCACATTTTCTGCTGCGCATTGATGAGACCAGGTCAAAAACAGAAGAATAAAGTAAATCCAATTTAAAAGGGTAAATAAGACCCTTGTTTGTGGAATAATGAATGGGCTGCGGTGGCTCAGA